CACCACACACACACACACACACACACACACACACACGACAATGACAAAATAAAAACACCATATGAATACTGAAGGAGGGTTCTAGGTAATCCACATTAACCCTGGCGCAGGTTCTTGAGCCCAGCCCATGGCTAAGTGGAACACACTCTGTATTAGTGTCTCAGGCACGGGGCCGACTCCAGCAACCTTGAGGTTAAACTGTTATGTACATCATATCTACATGCGGGTACAGTATTTAAATTAGGAGGCAAGCACATGTGTAAAGGTGTTCCTCTACTAGATATCAGGAGCTGGTTGGGGTGCAGAGGACAGTTAATAAAAGAAAAGGGCTATGTTACCCGTCGGGAGATAACATCACCCGGCTTACAGTTCTTTAAATTAAGAGAAATGATACAGAAAGGAAGTAGAATCCAAAAAATATTACCAAAACAATCCAGAGAAATTTTTCCATTGTCCAACAGAATCCCAATACAAGTCAGAATTCAGAATGACGTGGACAGTCGAAAGGAAACTTCTGCAAAGGAAAGCCCTGGGCATTCTGGGTAGGTGTTTGGCACCCAAAATCTCACCAAAGAATGCTGTTTCTTAGCATCAGACCAAAGTGCAAAGCAATATAAATTAGAGGCCAAGTCTTCTCTTGACTGTCGATTTACTTCTGGAAAACAGACTGGATGTTCCTTTTGTATGACCGATTTACATTTGAAGCATGAGATCTGTTCACTGGTGGGGAGGAAAGGGACTTCTGTCCTACGTGAAGTCGGTGAAGCTAAGGTATCCTTCTCAGAGCGGAGGCCGGAGCCGGAGGTGAGAAATGTCGGTACTTGAGTTAGGCTGCTTTGCAATTACCCAGCGTCTAGAACCAGTTCCAGCTTCATAACTCAGCTGTGAGAACTCCTTAGGCGTTTGGTAGCCATGTAGCCAGTAGTTCAATGGAAAACCCTGGAAGAAGATAAACGCAAGCTGGTGTGGATGGGTACACTGGTTACACGTGAGCTAATGCATCCCAGCCCTCCATGGACACACACCTGTGCACACACAACACAGGACTGATTTGCAAATGAGCAACAAGCGGCAGGCTGTTCTGAGTGCTACACACCAGGCACCCTATTCACTGGTACCCACGTCACTCGGACCACCAAGGCTCAATTCCACGCGTTAGCCATTGAGTGAGTGGAGATTCAAAGGGACACCTGACCCTACAACCCATCACTAAAAATTATGCCTATCACAAAATATGCTAATGTCAGATTTTATGTTTAGCATAATGATACCGCCAGAACCTACAAGGGCCTGTCACGGGCCCTCCTGAAGGCACTGTCAATCATTGGGAAACAAAATACATAAAGCTAGTAAATAAGGGAAGGGCTCTAAGTGGAATGCTAATTGTCAGAAAGTACTCTGTGAAATAAATCATTAATAAAAGGATAACAGCGTAGAGGAAAAGACTACTAAATGGTCCGTACTGTTTTGACCATGATTTTGAGTCAGGTACACATTTCAATCATAACCTTTACACTCATCTATGTATATAATAAATGACATACGCACCCTCCCTCATACCCCAAAGCAGAACGTTCATGAAACAAGGCTTACAATTAGTGTGTACAATGCAGGCTGACATTTTCTTTCTTTCTTTCTTTCTTTCTTTCTTTCTTTCTTTCTTTCTTTCTTTCTTTCTTTCTCTTTCTTTTTTTTTTTAACTATATTTTATTGATTTTGTACAGAGAGGAAGGGAGAGAAATAGAGAGCTGGAAACATCGATGAGAGAGAGTCATCGATCAGCTGCCTCTTGCACACTCCCCACCGGGGATATGCCCGCAACCAAGGTACATGCCCTTGACCGGAATCGAACCCGAGACCTTTCAGTCCCCAAGCCGACGCTCTATCCATTGAGCCAAATCACAATTTCGTCAAAGTCAAATCCCATTAAAAGGATTTCACAATCACTACTGCGTCACAATTCTTTCCAAACACTGCACTGAACTATTGGTTAGAAGATCTAAAAGTCTCCTTTAGGTCTAAAATCCTACTGGGGAGGGAGAGGAGGAGGAGGAAGGACATGTACATGTACCTGGAGGGAAAGAAAGGAGAGGAGAGGGAGAGAATATAAGTGTGGTTTCTTAAAGGAAACTTCCCTAAAAGGTTGACAATTTTCATAAAGATCAGGAATTCGGGTAAGTTTTCTCAATGAATTCAAGATTTACTTGCCACTATGTCCCCAGGAAGGACATTTAGGGGTCCCGGGATTCATTTTATAGGAACGCCCGGAGAGAAGCAGCCCTCTCAGACGCTGCTGGGGGAATGTAAACACCTGACTCTGCTGGAGGGCAACACATCTGTACGTCCCCGAAGCCCTTAACTGTCACCTTCTAATCCAGACGCTCCGGGCTTTCCTGGAATGATATCCAGAGGGAATAAGGGGATGGGCAAAGATTAAGCCGAAAAAAGTCAGTCATGTGTTTTGCTTTACAATGGCTAAAAGCTAAAGGGGTGGAGGTGGGAGTGAGGTGGGGAACAGGACCTATCCAGGTAATTAAATATTATTTTGCCATTATGAATGATAATTCAGGCATGCAATAACTTCACAACAGAGAAAAAAAACAGCTTTTAAAAACGTGCGGTTATGTACACGGGAGTTAACAATGGTGAACCATGAGCAGGGTTTTATTTTCTTCTCTTGGTTTACCTGTGTGCTTTTAATTTCTTACATGATCTTATGTCGTCTTGTTATAAGCGAAAAGAGCTATTGCATCTTCGGCTCTGATAAGCTAGTAATTTTTTTAAATGACTCGGCAAATAAATCTATTGCTAGCTTTCCTGACATAGAAATACTCTTACCTAATGTTTTAGGGGTGAATATTTTACTGCAAGGTTAAATCATCATTAGGGTAGTGTTTCTTATTATGCATAAATCTTACAGTATCACATGGTAATAATTTTTTTCATGTTACAATAAGTGAAAAGAATTTGGAAAAGAGCAATAAAAACCGTGAAGTTGACTGCCAAGGTTGTCAAAAGTAATTCACTTTGAAGAGACAAACACATTTGAGGTTTCATTGCTTGTGCTGCTTAAAAAGCAGATAAGATTTTTCCAGTGATTTATAATTGAGGATCGTAACAAGGCAGCTGCTCTTGGTTCCCTAAAAGGGCTTGGGAGGCGGGCCTGGGAGCAGTACCACCAGCTTCCTTTCCGCCTCAGCCAATGAGAGGCCAGCACTGCTGACCATTATTCATCCCCACCCAAAGGAATCTGGTTGGGGACCCTTTCACGTGAGATGTAAACGTTGTCCAACTTATGAGTGTGTGCTATGTTCTACATCAATTAAACATGCCGGGTGGGGGTGAAGGGTGTGAGAGAACATACTAGGGGTGTCTTGAATTTCATCATGTGCCTCTTTAAACATATACCCAAGACACCACAGAGGTGCCAGAGGCCGTTCTATGTCACCCCAACTCGCCCAAGTCTATCCACTGCAGAGACTCAGGTACAGCTCTGCTGACCCTGTCCTATTTCATGTGAAAACCCAGCAGTGGCTGACGGCAGCTACAGCAGAGCCTGGAGGGGGATGCAGAGCCCACAGGAGGAAAAGAAAGAATGGAGGAAATTTAACAAAACATGTGCAAGACCCTCACAAACACACTGCCAAACCCTGCTTAAGGAAACTGAAAAAGACCCAAGTAATAGAGCTAGACCAGTGGTCGGCAAACTCTTTAGTCCACAGAGCCAAACAGCAACAGTACAACGACTGACATCTCTTTGGAGAGCCACATTTTTTAAACTTCAGCTTCTTCTAACGCCACTTCATCAAAATACTCGCCCAGGCCGTGGTATTTTGTGGAAGAGACACACTCAAGGAGCCAAAGAGCCGCATGTGGCTCGAGAGCCACAGTTTGCCGACCACGAAGCTATACCACGTTATGGATTGGAAGACTCAATAAAGTGTTAAGAAGAAAATTCTCCCCCAAAACGATCTTTAGATTCAATGAAGTCCTAATCATAACCCCAGCAGCCACTTTCATAGGATTTCACAACCTAATTCAAAATTGAATGTGAAAACCTAAAGGACCTCGAAGAGTTAAAAGTTTTTTTAAGTTGGAAGTTTTATGACATCGTGTGGTCTTGGCAAAAGGACAGCTGCACAGAGAAGAGAGTCCAGGGACAGGAGTGCAGCTAAGGGGTCACCTGATTCTGTGACTAAGGTGCCAGAGCCATTTGAGGGGAGAGGAAACCTGTCCTCAGCGCTAACAACTAGCTAACTTATAAAACAGAGCAATGAGCTTCTGACCTCACACCACACACAGCCAGCAACGCTAAATGGAGCAAAAACCTCAATGTGAAAGTTAAATATAAAACTACACTGGTCCAAAAACAGTCACTAGCTACGTGTAACCATTTAAATATGAGTTTAAATAAAGTACAATTAAATACAATTAAAAATCCAATTAGAATCTAATTAAAAATTCTATTCCCAAGTCGTCCTGGCTACTTTTCGAGAGCTGGGGCTGGGACAGAGCAGGCCAGCGCTGGCTAAGCCTGGGGCGGGGTCAGGCTCTGACAATGGAGGACACGGGGACCTCTCTGGGAACATAAAAATGTTTTTATCTTGACTGTGGAGGTGGCTGCAGAAATGCACACATTTGTAAAGACCTGTCCAACAGGGCAATCTATTCCACACTCGGTAAGCTTGACTGAAAACCCACGAGGCCGAGCGCAGGTGAAAGGGGCGGGGGAGGCAGACATGCCCCCTGGCATCTGTCGGGGGGAGGGAGACAGACGCAGCGGCTGGCTGTGCCCAGTCTGGGCAGTTTGTCCCGATGGTGTACTGAGTTTTGTCTTTGTTTGCTGGCGTGACTACACGTGTTCACTGGCAGCTCACCTCGGTTCCTGTCGCTGAGAAAGGAACAAGCCACGCCATTCCCCCCCCCCCCCCCCGCCCCAATGCGGGGTCCCCCCGCAGCCGCGAGGAGGGGCGCTCACCTGACGGGCGAAGAGCAGACTGTTATCTGGAGATGTATGTGTATGTTCTGGAGGGAGAGCGGGTCTCGTTCTGGGCACTGGGAGGCACATTTAAGAAATCCCAAATCAAAATAGTGTCATCGTGAGAGCTGCTGATGATCTGAAATTCATCAAACTGTAGCCGGAACACACGTCCAGAATGTTCCTGCGAAGAGAGCGCTGGGTGAGGAGAGGGAGGCCTCCCGCCCTCGACGGCACAAGTGGAAGGCGGCTGCACATCCCGCTCCTAAGACCCCAGCGAAGGCGGAGTGCGGCCCTCGCCCTCTGCGCTCGCTCTGCTCCCCCTCTCGGCCTTTCCTTTAACTGGACTCTGTCTCAGGCCCTGGCCCAGAAGTGCGTCCGAGAAAAGGTGCCGCCCGGGTCTGAGACAGGTCAGGACGGGAAGCAATAATGTGCAATGCCCGTTCCCGAGACCTGGCGCAAACTGGGACCAAGACTATCTCAAACCACAGCCAACAGCAGAATTGATGATGAAATGTTAGAAGCATTCCCGTGAAGACCAAGAAGAGGAGAATGGCCCCAACTACAGTTCTGCATGTTCTAGTCGATGCCAGGAATGAAGATTTTATTTAAAAGGGAGAACTATTGAAAATAAGAAAAAATGTCAGTATTTTCAAGCAACTATCCCTCAAAAAATACAACCAAGGCGAGCAGACGATGAAAAATAATGTGCTTGGTAAAGCTGCAAAAATAAGATTAACATATAAAAATAAAGTGCCCCAATAATTCAAGGCAATAACCCATAGACTGCAGACGGAGGGGCCTTCCACCAGCACAGGACAGCAATGCTGTCAGAGAGGGTAACAGCCCAGTGCCCATAGGAGTGCCCCACACCCACAGGAGCCCCCCTAAAGGAGGAACTGCTCTCACTGCGCAAGCCAGAGCCAAGCTCCCAGGCAGGGCTCATGGCCACAGCGATGTCAGTCCCTGCTGCCGCCAGCCCAAATGGACAGGGCGGCGCCTTCCTCTGAAAACACAGCCTCTGTGCAGGCGGCCACCCCCAGCGCAGGAGCCACACCCGTGTCCACGGGCCACGTACCACCAATGTGCGCAGACACAGCGTGCTTGCCGGGGCTCGCGGGTCCAGAGCAGCTTGCAAGTCCCAAACTTTGATTTTCCTGGAAAGGACAAGGAGATTGCGATGAGCGAACAAGCGAACGTTTTAAACACCGTCCAGCGTTTCCTCGATGGGGAGGGCCTGCAAACGGCCCACTAGGAGCGCTAATGGGGAGCTGCTTCTGTTCCCACAGGTTATGTAACTGCCACATGGCCCAGGCTTGCTGGAGGAACGCACAGAGTATTCTTTTTAGGGAGACAAGAAACAACGTCCCGTTATCTCAGCTCAGTGCCTGACGGGATCCTCTGTCAGCACAGGCTCACCGGGGCTCCTGGGGCTGAGTGGGGGCTGGGACAGAGTGGGGCTCTCGGTGGCATTCCAAGGATGCCTTTCTCCCGAGGCAAACGCTCCGAAACAGACGCCTGACCCGCGTGTGAGATATACAGAGGCCACCCTGAAAGGTTTAGTTGCCATTTGCTCATTTAAAAAGCCGTGCCGCTTTTACGAGAGGAGCTGTCCAATCCACCAACAGGGCGAAAGAAATGTATCCCTGAACCGGGGCGGGAGGGCGCGGGGAAAGGACCCCACGCCTGGTTTAAAGGCTGAGGCAAACGGAATTCCTGCACAACCTAAGCCGCTCCCGGTTTGCTCACAGTAACGGGGAAAGGCATACGGGTAGGAGCCTGGAGGCTCTGCTGCTGGGGGCTTTGGGGCCTGCGTGGCCTCACTGACCAGCGGTGCAGTGACACCTGCCACCCACCAGCACACGGAGCCCGCCCGGCCGGGACCCGCACACACAGCGCGAGGGCAGGCCTCGCCCTCGGACGCGGCCACAGCAGAGCACGCCATGGGAAGCACCCACCCATCATAGGCGCCGCTGACAATCCTCTTGTTGTCGAACCGGATGCACCGCACCAGCTCTTCGTGTCCCTCGAGGACTCTCAGACAGGCGCCGCACTCGATGTCCCACAGCCTGGAGGAGAGGGCTCTGTGAACCGCCCGTGGCCACCCCCTCACGGCCTCACGGGCTCCGCATCCGCCCCCAGGCCTGGCCCTCCTCGGGCATTCTTCATCCGTCTCGCTCCCGGCCCACACCCTGCACACGCGTGCACACTTAGCCACTTGTGTGTTTTTAAGCACTAACTTGGGAGGAAGCCTTACTCTTCATTATATTTCCTTTTACACAGCTTGAAACGTTAAAATCACATGCATGTTACTGAACAAATAAGAGAATCCTCCCCAGGCACTTCCAGGCTGCAGGCCGCGAGGCCCAGGAGGCGCGCACCGGCATGGTGGTCTCCGTCTCCCGCCGCAGCTCAGGGACCCCTACCCCGTTATGTGCTGCATCCTGGGCTGCCCAGGTTCAAGGTCAAAGTGGGAGACCCATGAGCTATATGCAGTGCCTTGGAAATAATAAACCTGGTATATAAATATACACAGTCAGCCTTTTTTTTCTGTATATGAATTATACAGCAGTTCTGGAAATAAAATTTGTTTCTATTATCATCGACTTTTCTGCATTATTTGCAAAAAGAAAGCACAGCAATGGAACACACATAAAGCAAGGGTAGCAAGCAAAATCTGTAAGGAACTTCCAGTGAACATTTCAGCACAGCCACCCTCAGCCAATCTCTCCACCAGTCAGAACCCTTCCCTTCTCCCTCCCTTTCTCAAATAATCGAACCCAATCTTTATTTTGCCCAAACATTAGATAATTTGTGTGTATGTATATACACATAAATATACACAGTTAATATAGCATAAACCGGGTCGGGGGAAACGACTTGGGTTACTTAAATATATAGATAGAAGATGGAAAGTGTTTAAGGATGGTCAGATTATTAAAAGCAAGGACACTGCATGCTGGGAAGAAAAAAGGAAATGAAATAGATGACCAAACAGAAGTAGGTGATTCTGCACTGCAGTCCTGGGAGAGACAGTGAGGTACCTGCCCACGCACGTGTCAGGGAGGGAGGCAGAGCCAGGCTGGATGGAGCAGGCTCTGTTCTAAGCATTCTGGTATTAAGTGACCCTGTAGCGCTAAGTCATAGAGCCCTGTGTGGTGGGGGAATCTTGGAAGATTCAGTACGCAGAGCCAAACAGATGAATGAAAAGTTACCTAAAGTTTTCTTTTCTGAAGCCCCCCCCCCGAGCTTCTACCCACCTGATGGTGTTATCTGACGATCCACTGACAACCAGCCGGTCCCTGTACTGCAGACAGGCGATGCCTCGCTTGTGCCCGTTCAGGGTGCGAACAAATTCACAGGTGCTCGTACTCCAGACCTGGAACACATTAGCAACGGAATGAATACAGAAAGGTCCCCTCACAATACCTTTCTCAAAGTCAGAGCTTCTAGGAAGGATCAAAATACTAGATCATGAAATACGTTGGGAGCCTGGGGGACATTAGACCAGAATAAAGCCTTCCTGGATGCTGAGTGATAAAACTGGGATCAATACAAAGGGAGGCGGTGAAGTCTCCGAGCCTTGAGATCGTCACAGAGAACATCTCCTGGAGGTTGATACACTCAGCTGCCCAGATTGTAAGGTTTATGCCAGCTGACATGTCACACCCAACAGATCTGGGCAAGCTTCACCTTCCACACCTTCCTCTTCCCAGCACAGTTCCTGAACAGCTCCGTTTGTTTCACACATCACTCCTAACATCACGCGTGTGCAATAAATAATCCCTCTTCTGTGAGACCACAATATGTTACCAGCCCCATAAGGAGCCACAGCGAACACAGTGCTGGGTTATTTTACCAGCTGCACATGTAGTTGAATGGGTTAACTAGCTATCCACGTACAAAGAATGAGGGCATAAAAAAAACTACTGCAACTAAACAATAGACAAATAATCCAATTTGTTAAATGAACAGAAGACTTAAGTAGATGTTTCTCCAAAGACATAAAAATGGCCAGCAAGTACATACAAAGATGCTCAACATCATCAGGTATTAGGGAAATGAAAAACAAAATCAACAGAGATACCACCACACCCACTAGGGCAGTGGTCAGCAAACCGCGGCCTTGATAACAATATATTAAGTGGCACTTTGGCCCCTTGAATGTGGCTCTTCCACAAAATACCACGTGTGGGCGTGCATGCCCAGTGCGATTGAAACTTCGTGGCCCATGCGCAGAAGTTGGTTTTTTGGCGTGGGCAAGTCTACTTTGAAGAAGTGGGGCGTTGGTCGCATATGGCTCATGAGCTGTGGTTTGCCGACCACTGCACTAGGATAACTGTAATAAAAAGACAGACAATGCCAAGTGTTGACCAGGACATGGAGAACTGATCCAGGCTGCTCTTATGCAGGAGTGGTTAAGGCCCAGGCCCTCTGCACTTCCGGGCACTGGTCTGTGTAACGGTGTGGCAGAGCAGTGAGTGAGTTACCTCATACAAATCCCAGCTGTTCACACAATCTAAGGTATGAAGCACCCTAGTCTGATCTGTGATACTAGAATGCTGTTTAGGGCAAGTCATAAAAAGAAGGGTTTTGTTGTTTTGTTTTGTTTTTAGTCAATTTCAAATATTCATATATTGCTGGTAAGATTGTAAACTAGTGTAGCCATTTTGGAAAACAATTTGGCAAAACTTATCATCCCAAGAGAATTGAAAATATATGTCCGCACAAATGTTTGCGGCAGCATTATTCATAACAGATAAATGTATAAACAATCAAAATGCCCATCTACTGATGAATGATAAACAAAATGTGGCACATCCACCCAATGACATTTCTTCAGTCATTAGAAGAAATGAATATTGTTACATGGTACAGTGTCTATGGGTGGGCCTTGATAACAATATATTAAGTGAAAGAAGCCAGACACAAAAGGCCCCATATTGGAGAATTCCATTTGGAAGACATGTCAGGCAATCCGCGGACGGAAAGGAGACCCGGGCCTGCCGGGACCAGGGGAAGAGGAGGGCTGACTGCTAACGGGTCTGAGCGCTTTTGGAGGGGACTGAAATGTCCTGGAACTAGTCAGGGCTACACACACTATAGATATACCGAAGGCTTCTGAACTGTGTGCTTTACAATTATTAATCCCATGGTATGTGAATTGTTTTAATAAAGTTGTTATAAAAATGTAAGAAAGCTAAAGTTTTTTCAAATTAAATGGATATCGATCCTGTAGGTCACCCTAGTCAACAGCAACTGCTTCTCATATGTCTGCTGTCCACACACTGCGCTCCCTGAAGACAGGGACATGTTGTTCCGCGTCACGTCTCCAGCAGCCAGCCCAGGGTCTGCGGCAGGACAGGCTTGGCTCTCAAAACCCGTTGACTAGATCCAATCTCAGCTCTGCCACTAGCTGGCTGTGTGGTCTCCGGTGTAGTCTTCCCTCACGGAGCCACATCTGTCCAATGCAGTGTGCCAGGAGGGCACGGTGGTATCGTACAAGCTCTGAGCACATGGGACATGCTCAGTGGGTTAGTTTTTGTCCCTGTATAAAGGCCACCGGCAAAGTGGCTTCAGGAAGGACTGCTCTCCTGCCTGGCCCCATGGCCCTTTCCCCTCCCGTGCCTGTAACGTAAGGAGCATGCAGAATGGAATGGCTTCAGGGGCTGCTGAGCGCAATGGAGGAGAATAAGGATCTTGAGAAGTGTCTCCATCCTAAGTAAGAGACAGAGGAAGCAGACACACTCACTTTGATGGTTCTGTCCCCAGAGGCAGACACGATGTACTTGTCATCGAAGTCCACCACGTTGACAGCAGCTCGGTGGCCGACCAGGACGCGGCGTAAGGTGATGTCGGTGGCGGAAGCCATGTCCCACACGGCGATGGAGCGGTCCTTGGAGCAGGTCACCATCAGGCCGTTGCTGAAGCGTAAGTGCAGGACGGCCTCGTTGTGGTGGATCAGTGTGTTCAGCACCTCGCCCGTGTTCACGTCCCAGACTCTGAGAACAGACACACAATGCTCACCAACGGGGACAGCCAGGAGAGCGGGCTCCCGTGCCCGGCCCGTTCTCTGGAGCAGGCTGGGAGTGTGGGCTTGGATTGTATTTGGGGATTGGGGCCTGACACCTAACTGCTTAAAGGAGCAATTTCTCTGTTTGCTGAGAGTGTTTCAAAAGCAGGCGGCCTAGTGTGGCTCTGCTCAGGTGCAGGGTTATGTAACAGCGGGTGTTTATGGATTGTGCCTGCAGATTTGCACTGATCGTAAAAAAATGACTCTTCCAGTCAGTGGGCACTGCAGGGAGTCTGGGATGACGGGGAAGGGGCTTGGTGGGTGGAGAGCTGAGGACAGTTAAGGTTCTTTTTGACCTTAGAGAGGCCTGGAGCCTAATGGACTGTAAGCCATGAAGTCTCATCAACCTCACTACCATCTATTCACCCGATGGCTTTAGGAACCGAGCCAGTGTCTCCCAGTTGGTTCACCCTTGAGATATGGGCCGTTTAGGAGCCCTTTCACATCATAGCTTTTCTGCAGCCACGGCCTCCCGAGAGGTCCAGCGGATGCAGAGCAGAGGAGGGAAAATGGGGGGCCTGGAAGCACCGCCAGGGAAAGGACACGAGGCGCCAGGTGACTGCTCCAGGCCGGGGGTCCATGGCACATCCTCTTCCAGTCTTGATTCAAAGTTGTTGGGTGAATAGATGGGTGTGGGGCTGATGAGACGGCATGACTTCCGGTCCATGGCAGCGGTGTGCCCGCCCTCGGAGGACGCGCTTCCCCAGCCACAGCAGCAGCCAGGGCTGTGCCCGTGACCCCAGCCCCTGATGACCTCCCCACCACGCCCAGACCACAGCCACTGGGCTCGGGAACGTCCTGTCCCGGTGGTGCAGGAGTGGGTCCCAACAGCATGCCCTTCCTACTCTCCCAACTTCCAGCCAGCAGCCCCCACTCCCAGCCTCATCGTTCTGCCCAGGGGTGGCATCAGAAAACAAGTGCTGCCATTACTGGAAAGTCTACGCAATGGGAAGACAGTCGTGAATGCTATAAATTCAAAGTTCAAATTAGCTGTGTGACTCTGAGCAAACCGCTTAACCTCTCCGATCTGTTTCCTTCTACATCTACAAAAAAAGACAGTATGTATCTACTGGAAAGGGTGATGTGAGAATTCAATAGGATAAGATTCCACAAAACATCTAGCACTCTCTGTGGCCCTGGGAAGGTTCCGCGGACAGCTCTTGCTGATTCTTTCAGACTCTGTAGGCTGTGTCCGCCACAGCCCACTCGGAGTACCTGCCTCCTCTCTGCTCTGGAGCGCGGGCCGGGGGCAGCCGGCCTGTGGCAGGCAGTGTGCTCTGTAGGGAAGCCTGGTGCCATCTCTGTACTACATGGCGATGGGGAAGGACCTACTTCACACAGAACGACAGCACACAACACACATGGAGAGGAGGGGCGGCTCTCGGTCTCCTCCTGGGAGTAGTTCATGCTCCGCTGAGCCGCGCACTCACCGCACTGTGGAGTCCGAAGAGCCGGTCACAATGACACGTTCGTCATACTGCAGACAAAGGACGGAGCCCGTGTGCCCCGTCAGCACCTTCAAACATTCCAGGCTGGTTTTGTCCCAAATCTATTGAGGTAAGATCAGGTCAGTGTTTCTGTCTCACCTCATTTCTTGAACCATAAAATAAAACAAACCTGTCACAGCAAATACGGGAGCTAACCATCAAACAGGTGGGACCTGCACGAGGGACAGAGGCGGCACTGAACAACTGCCTGCATCAGGGGCTGCACATGGACTAGCAGCAGAGGCATTAAAATTGGAGCCAAACCATTCTTTCCGGACAGAGGATGGGGGAAGGGGTCTCTGGGGCCCAAAGCGTGTGTGGAGGGCCCCATGTCCCCCTCTTCTCACGTGGCTGTGCTTCAAGAACAGGCCCCAGTCATGAAGACGCGCCCCAGAGCAGTGGCACAGGTAACTAAAAGTCCAGGAGAAAGCCCATTTTCTAGCCAGGGTACAAGGTAAAAAGGACCCCTGTGGGGAGAAGAGATGGGGAAATCCAAAAGAGAAGAGATCTGGAAAGACAGGGCCCTTTAATCCGCCACCCAGAGGGAGCGGGGCACACACTGGACAGACTGCAGAGCGCAGCCAGGCTGTGAGAAGTGAACGGATATCAAACTGCTGCTGAGCCTCAGACCGAGCTCGGGGAGTGTAAGCCCAAGACAGACCCGATGGTGAGTATTAAAGGCTCTGAGAAGCAGAGAAGAGATCTGAATCCTTCCCAACCTTCTACTCCCTCTCTGCGAAGTCACAGCGAAATGGAAGTCTGAATGTTCTGAAGCTGACTAGGTTAACCACCTGCTTACAACACACCCAGACATTTTTTCCAGAGGCTGAGAACAGGCTGCGAACTCTTTGTGATGTAACACCCATACTGTCCAAGCTACGATCCAAAATTAGTATCTTACACACACCAAGAAAAGTGATCGATTCTCAGGGGAAGAGACAATCAACCACACACAACAGGCTGGAGATCACCCAGAGGTCATGGCCAAGACTTCCAAGCAGCTAATGTAACTCTTCCCATGAGGTACACATAACATGCTTGATATGAATGACAAGAGAGACGCTCTCAGCAAAGAAACAAACTACTGGTGAAGAAAAGATATTTGAAAAGGTAAGAGCCAATAACTTCTGAAATTTGGTGACTGAAAGATATAAATTTACAGATTCAAAAAGCTCAGTGGAAGACTTCTTAGCACGATTCATAAGAGAGAAAAAATACATAAAACTGGATTTCATCAAAATGAAAATCTACCATTAAGAAAATGGAAAGTCCCTGCTTGTAAGAAAATATTTGCAAAATTTATCTAATAAAGGATTTGCATGCAGAATATGTAAAGAACTCTCAAAACTCAATATGAAATTTAAAAAAACCTATTTAAAAGAGAGAGAAAAGATCTGAACAGAAACTTTACCAATGAATAGATGGATGGTAATCAAGCACCGGTAAGTAAGCCATTGGGCAAGTAAAACGAGGCTTACCCACATACCTATGAGAATGGCTCATGTCAAAAAGCAAGACTACCTGGAACGTGCAATGGCATTGCTGCTTTGGAACACGGCTTAGCAACTCCTTAGCAAGTACACCACACTTCACACCTGAGTCAGCAATCTTTCTCCTGGGTTTTTACTCAAATGAGTGAACACTTATGCTCTCACAAACACATGCATGTTTACGGTGACTTTACTCATAATTGTGAGAAACGAGGCACACAAATGTCCTTCACCAGGTAAGTGGATAAGCACACTGTGATAAGCCACAAAATGGAACACTGCCCAGCAACGAAAAGGAGTCAACCACTGCCAAGTGCAGCGACACAGCTGAAACTCCAGTGCACTGTGCTAAGTGTAAGAAGCCATATTTGGAAGGTTACACACCGTGCAGTGCACTTCTAGGCCATTCTTGAAAAGACAACACTGCAGGCACAGAAAAACCAGCGGCGGCCAGTGCCACGGGGAAGAATGGCAGACATTCTTGGGAGGACAGGGAACTGTGGGGGATGGTGACACTTTTCTGTATCTTGGGCATTGTTGTGGTTACACAATTACTTGTGCTGTCAAAGTTCATACAGCTTTACACCAAAGCAAGTGCATGTTTCTGTATATGTTATACCTAAAAAACCACACCCAACAACCCGCTGTGTTTTCTTAAATGATAAAATAAGCTATAAACAATGTACAATGAAATCTGTCAGATCAGCTGCCAAACATTAAACACAGAAATAATCCAGTTTATCTACTACTGAAAAGCAATCTAAATAGCTCTGTCATGCTTCTGTGTTATCGTCTGAGCCTTCCTCAGAAGTCATAAAAGGTAATGACTGATTTCCAGCAAATTAGCATACCTGCGCCAGCACACAGTCATCAGGAGCCCTGGACACTGAGGCATGTCCCCCAGGTGCCCTAATATGGAATACAGAGCACACATGTGCTTAGAGAAGGGGTCTAGTGTGAGTGCGGGAAAACACTCTGCCTCTGGTTCTCCGGAATAAATGAAGAGATTGCCACTCTATAGTGTCTAACGTGTAAGCACAGTTCCACACGTAATACATACAAAATAGTTGTTCACCTTAATAGAATTGTCACGCAGCCCACTGATAATCTTTTCGTCATCGTACTGTAAACAGTAGACACCTTTACTATTTTCAGAACGGCACTGGATCCTCTGCAAGTTGTGTCGTCCACACCGCCAGTTAGATTCTATAGTCTGGGGGAGAAAGGAGGCGACAAGTGAGTTTTTGTGAATCAACGATGCTATTAGGCTTCAGACTCTGGCGCCGCTTCCAGAAACGCATACCTCTGCTACCCCATCTCGGTTTGCGTAACTGTCTGTGGATAGGAATCCTGTTCTTTTCCAAGTAAGACATTAGCCCAACAATGTTTTTTCTCCAATGTTCCCTGCCCTTCTGGCAACTGTCACAGGATTTCCAATGAGTTTGGGTTGGATTTTAAAAAAAAAAAAGAGGCCTAGACAGAACTCAGAACGTTTCAAGAATGCCATTTGCATCCAAAACATACAAATAAATAGTAACTCATTGGGTTCCTCTCTAATACCGGTTAAAATATTTGGCGGAAGGTACCCAACAATATTAAGCTTATACTGAGAAATCTGTGGATCCATCCAAAGCATTGTCTTGATCATTGAGAAAAGATATTAAAAACTACTACAAGCCAACTATTATAGAAAAATTTTGTTACCCATTTTTAATCTCCCACCAGCCTGAAGCTCCTTTAAAACAAGCTCGGCACACGGCAGTCCTCGGCTCTCATCTTTCACCATTCACGCCACACTTCCCAGCATGCCAGTGTATTCCAGGTACTGGCTGTGCTAGGCCCCAGACGCTAAATGATCAACAGGAAGCATACTGCTTTCAGAGAGGCACCGCTCCAGTATCTGGGCACACGGTATCGGGAACTGGGTATACTCCAAACATGTTTATTTGGTTAAATGACCCACGAATTGGCCTTGGAAGGAAATTCTTATTATTTCCCTCTTTTAAACAAGGAAGGAGTTTAATTTGCCTGGGCTCATAAAACTAGTGATGGGATGAGCTGGAAATCACACCCATCCTTCCTGACTCTAAGTCTATGCTTTTCCCGCTAAGATATGCAGCCCTGGCCGGTCTGGCTCAGTGGTTAGAGTGTCAGCCTGCAGACCAAAGGATCGTGGGTTCGATTCCTGGTCATATACATCAGTCGCAGGTTCCCCAGCCCCAGAGGAGTGTGCGCAGGAGGCAACCAATCCTGAGCTGCAGCATCACCTCTAGTGAGTCTGTAAAGTGTCAGACGTAAGAGCACAGGCCCAAACCAGACTAATGTGCACTGCTTCCGCCACTGCTATCGAGGCAGACAACAGTTCTGTCTGTGTAAGCAATGTTTTTAAAAGGGGTCCAGAATGTAAAGAATTTCTTACCCTGAACTCAGTGCTTGAATCATTTAGAGAAATCGTGTCTTTGCAGATGTGACCGAGCCACCTCAGCACACTAAGCAGACCAGGAAATCGCTGGCTAGGCGGCAGGTGTACTGGCAACAAGTCTCACTCTCAGCAGCGGTTACTGTGCTCAGGCTACACCCCTGGGCTCAGAGCTGCGGCAGAATCATCCCTCCATACGAACCCAAAGTAATCCAGAGATCTACCGCTACCTCTCTCTGGGTCTCTGTGTCTCTCCGCCTCTGTGTTTCTCTCACACACACACATAGACATATACCAGGTGTTATTTTAAAAATCCATATAGCTGTTCTTAGTTCAAAATATACACAACTATTTTTAAAATATGATTGAAACAATAAGTAGCTTTGTTGCTCTACATTTCAATGAATGAAAAGGCACATTTTCCATCACATTGGAGTTTGGGGGGAAAATGTTTTAAAGAGGGAGTCGGGGCCCGGCCAGCATGGCTCCGTGATTGAATGTTGACCTATGAACCAGGAGATCATGGTTCGATTCCCGGTCAAAGGCACATGCCCGGGTTGTGGGTTCGATCCCCAGTAGGGGCCTGCAGGAGGCAGCTGATCCATGATTCTCTCTCCTCATTGATGTTTCTCTCTCTCTTTCCTTCCTCTCTGAAATCATTTTTTTTTTTTTTTAATTTTTTTTAGAAGAGGGACTGGGAGACTCCTCAAACCAAAAAGAGTTTCCTGCCTGTTATGGTCTCCCTTCACTCTACAATGTTTTCTAAAACCGGTGACTTGATTATAATCTTTGCACCTAAAGCCGCACCACAGAGAGGAGCTGGGGGAGGCTGTGCGGTCAGCCTTCGCCTGGACAGACAGCACAGGCCACAGGAGGCTGAGCCGCGTGCTCTCTCTCCGGCCCCAGACAGGAGGCAGGCGCCAGGCCTCCCAAAAGCTCCCGTTCGAAGCCGAATGCGAGTCAGAAAAAGCTCTGCTGCTCAGTGCCTAGGAAGAGCCCTGTTTTCGAGTCCACACATCTGAATTTTTAGGGAAAAGGTCTGCCAAGTAATTCTTGATGGATCATTTTAGGAAGCCCCACTTAGAGCTGTTTCCAGAATTATTAGGCTTCCTAATCCCCAAACAAGTGTTTGTTTCCAAATGCCAGGAAAGCGACACGAAAGCAGCCCGGGGAGTGTGGCTACCCTGATTCCAACTCCGCGGCCCAGGCCCAGGCCCAGGCCACCCACAGCAGCCGGCAGCCGGCAGCACATCCTGCTGACGGTGCTGCCCTAAGCACCGCCTGCCACCTTATTTGACAACCTCAACCCTTACTAGAATGCTTACGAGCCAGGTCTTTTTAGAAAAACTAGACCCTCAGAAACAGACGGCAGCCACTGTGGTAGAAATACCCAGGTCAATTAGCAGCCTTGGCAAGTGGCTTGGCTGTCTGAGCTGCAGCCCGCTCCTCTGTAAAAAAGGCGAGAATAGTACCCATTTCCTCCAAACTGCTGAGAGCATCAAATGAGAGGGCACAGACAGGGGTTCGCCACGGTGCCTACAAATGGCAGAGCGACCCTCTCCCTCATCTGTTGCACAGGGCACGGGCCTAGAGGAGTAGTCTGACCCCAAAAATCTCCCCACCCAACTGCCAGGATTGGTGGTCCCACTCTGGCTGCTAGTTAACCCTGATCCACCCGAGCCCCGCCCAGCCACTCCCAGGAAGGGGGGCTCAGCCTTCCAACGCGATCCCAGGCCTCCATCCCGCAGCGGCCACGCAGCACACACGTGTGCACCTCTCCGTGACGCAGATACCTGCCGTGTCGCTCGGACACCGTGCGGTGTGGCTACTGTGGAGGAGCATTTTGTGTTTCTGAGAACTTGTAAAATCCCCTTACCCTGTGCAAATTTTCAAAATACTGGGAAAGTGGCCATGATACACAGAGTATACAGCGGCATTTAGATTGGCAACAGAGTGAAAACAGATGTGTGAGTGCGGAGGGATAACATTATTTTTAGAAGCCTAAACACAACTGGGTGGGTGGGCAGGTTTCAGCATTCTCTGGTCAGGACATTGTTAATATCAAGTCTGCAAACCACAAAAAAGCTCCCCACTTTCCCTGAATAAAATGCGGTTTATTAAAAGGTGCGACACGACACACCATCATTGCACCAGAGGCCGTTCCGAGGAGAGCCTTCTCAGGCCTTCATCCAGCCTCTGCTGAGAGGCAGGAGGCAGAGCCCAGGGCAGGACCCCAGACTGGGACGACTACAAGGCCGACCAGCCCTGTCCTCCTCGGGCCTCCTCCAAGGACAGTCAAGGGCACGGGCACTCACACAGCGGGAGGAAGACCAGTTCACCCCGTAGTCTGGAGGGAGGTAACAACATAATCTTTCTCCTTCCCTTCCTGAGTTTTCCAGTTGGAAATGACAACACTAAGCCCACCTCTCCTGCATAACTAGGCAGCAAGTTCTAAAATTTCTCTTAGTCTCAGTTTCCCCTTATTACAGATGGGGATATGTACCTTGTAGAAATTAAATGCAATAACTTATGTAAGTCACACTGCATAGTTCACAGTTCACGGCAAGGGCTCAATCAAAAAAGGTACGTGTTACTATTATATTCTGCTTATGGGGGTTTCATAGCAACCATGTGGGCGAGAGCCAAGCCTGGGAGTCTCTCATGTTTTGTCCATGGATCACAGACAAAACTCTGCCTGTGTGTCCATTAAACAGAATTAAACATACTCCCAAAAGGGAGGTCAAGAACTCTATTTTGATGGGGCTAGTACAGAAAGTTGTATGAAATGCAGACTAAATCGTTGATCACAGCTACTCACTACTTTCAGGTATTATCCACTGTTAAATGCTTAACAAAGGATCTAGCACAAGTATTATTTTTATTATTATTACTATTAGTGAATATACCAGTATAAAACATTGTCCCTTACACTAAGAGAACTAGCCCACAAAAATCTGGAGGAGACCCTTGTGGCCAACCAGTGGATTTTTCCAAACCACACTTTAAGAACCACTGGGCAGACCACCATGATGGAGGTTTTGTGTCAAATAGGGTTTTCCCCCATAGCTCTATTTTCCCCTCACATCTGCCTCCTCTACTAACTTAAAATGTTATTTCAGCCCAAGGAAATGGATATGCTAGGTGGTGTCACATACTGTCATGCCACAGATTAAGTTCATACTATCAATTACAATAGCGCTCATGGGGGGTAAATAAAACAATCCATGTCACCAAATCTTAAACCCGATCACAGTTCTTCCAAAATTCCTACTTATCCATGATTGACCTTAAACACCATGCTTCTCATAATGAAGGATTTACTAAATTATTCAAGGAAATTTAGAGCTACTTGGTAAAGAATAATTGGGAGGGAGCAAAAGGTAATATAGCTCCCAAGATGTTTGAAAAAGCAACATCTTAGTGAAAGCATCTAAGGGTAAGAGACAGCCCTTCTCCCTTGAACACACACCAAACTAAGATTCAAGTTGACACCATCTTCAGGTACTAACACTGTGGGGGCAATTTGTTCTAAGTTCTGCCAATGGGTCAATTAATTCCTAAACACTGTGATTGTCCAGCAGCAGTTTAAAATTATTTAAGCCTCCCTAAAAGCTCATTTTATAGCTCATTTTAGGGAGAATACTCAAGACAAGGGGTTGGTGCTTTATATAATGACATTCCAGTACATCCAGATTTACCATTAACTGAATGATTCCATCAGTTCACATCTGCCTCAAAAAGGGGGTGGGGGGCCTTCAGAAAAGCACATGTTTCTCCATTAATGAATTTTGGCACAATAACTTTTATGTCTATCACCTGGGGGAGGAGGATTACTTCACGTTTGGGAAACAGAATGTGCAAGTTTATGGGTGATACAGCTCTGCCCAGAGAAGGCTAAAGCTTTCTGCCAAGGAGGAAACAGCAAAGTAGCCAGGACCTGCCAAGAACACATGGGAAAGAGTTAATGAGAAATGCCTGTGCGTGTCTTTCCTGGTTCAAGGAAAAGGGCTAAATAATAAAACTGAACCAATTAGGACACGTGAACAGTATCAAACGCCTCCGGTGGTGCTCGTCAAGTTTACAGAGTTTTACTGGTCTGGTGACGCCCCTCACCTCCAAAGGGTCCGGCAGCACAATCTGCTCTATAACACTCACTTCACTGTTGCTCACCATCATATGCTGAGTCCTTTTTATGAAAAAATAGGGGAAATTTACGGAGGAAACGGAGACTGGGCCCTCTCTAGTTCTCAAGATGTGGCTCAAAAATATAAAAGCACTTGCCTGAAAATCTGGGCCTTGAATTTTGAAAATTTTAACAAATTCGAATGAAAAATTGACTTTGGATTGTGGTTCTAATGATGGCAGCCCTGTAGAAGCATTTCAGGGCTAAGAAAAGTCAGATCTTTTCTATAAGACGACGTGACATATTCGGAAGAAAGCTATAGATTCTACATTGAGTGTGACACATTTGCTCTAAGAGTTCAACTAAAAAAAAAACCAAAGAAACAAAACAAAACAAAAAAAAACTACTTGGTTCCATGGTTTTAGATCAAGAGAACACTAAGACAACATAAAAGGCTGAGAACAAGACACAGAGAGCCCATACAGAGAGATAAATCATAAAGTTACCTCTATGTCCTGGATAATCTTTGGGTATAATGACCTATAAAATGAATTGGGAGGGCCATCTGTGGGTCTGTTTTTAAACAGGTACTGATCCCTGGCAAATAAAAACAAACAGATGTTACATTTTTGCACATAAGAGGGTGAATTTTATTTAAACAAGGTGCTTACAAAGATGTTGTATCATTCAAGTCTTTTGACATGCATTGAGCTTCAATTCAAATTGAGCAACAGTTCAAAAGCAGGATTTCTGAGTCCGAATGTGTCCAACACAAGTTTACTTCGATTTACAGCCCTCTAACATGATCCTGCACTTCTGGTTTCTAATACCCAACGCACAATAATCTAACCTCTCATTCTATAGTTTAGCAAGAGGGGTGCTAATGGCACTTTGTGACAATCCTAACTGGGTCCACATCAAACTTCCTCCCATAGAGAAAACCCAGCCTTGGCCCTCGCTCACACCACCGCCACCCGCCCTGCATCTGTAGCTCCTTCTCTGTGCTCACTAGCCAGGCTCCCGATGGGTACTAGGCAACAGAGCTGTGTTTCAGTTCCTGAGTTTCCTCTAAGAAAAAAAAAAAAAAAAAGAACCGCCTGCTGTGCTTCCATTATCTTCCATCTGGAACAATAACCAACAGCAAGATGGCATCATTCGATTTTCTCCTATTTTCTTTATTCTTATCTATCTCTTGGCAATGGTGTTATCACTTAAGAAAAATGTGAAAGGAAAAGCATTCATACAAGCTTTGAAAACACAAATCACTCAAACAGTACAAACTTCCTAACATTAATCAATACAAAGAAAATGTACATCTCAGAAGGAAGAATTCTAACAGCTTTAACTCCCCTACCCAACCCCTGACCACTCATCTTTAAAATGGGCCAAAGCATTTGGCAAGTGTAACTGCTTTCTTTGTCATCAACGGGAGCCCAGGTCCCAGCACCTTTCCCCGGGAACAGCGCCCAGTACTCACCACCCTCTCCTCTCGGAGAGCCCCTTCCACAGAGGGTCGGTGCGCACCATCCGCTCAATCAGCTTCTTCCACAGCATCCCCTCGGAGATGACGCGCTGCCATTCTTTGCAGACCAGCTCTGCTGCACACAGAGACCTGGCGTCCAGGTAGGAAAGAATGTTTTCTGCTATGTGATCTAGGCCTTGCTCTACAAAACAGAAAACGCAATGAAGAGATGGGAAGGGAAATGGAAATGGTCCATCCTTCTGTAAGGATGAGAGGAATAAAGAAACTCTGGACCAGGCCACACACTTGAGTAGCATCAGGAGTTCTGCAGATACACCTGTGCACACTAACATACACACTTCTTTTTGGTTCTGACTTTTTTAAGATAAAGCAATCCAGGGCAACAGTTACTAGGTGTAAAAGCTGGATCTGGACAATTCTCTCTGTCAGGTAATATGACAAAATACTTAGACGTATTTAACTGAAATTTTAGTCACTATGGGATGATGAGTCCCCAGACTTCACAGATGAGGCACAGAGAGGTCAAGCACTCAAGGTTTCACAGCCACACAGAAGAGCCAAGACTGGAACTCCAAGCTCTTTCTCCAAAGCTTGTGTTCTTGCCCCTCTGATTTATTCTCTTGTACCTACCACCCTATAACCCACAGTTTGTGTGAATCCCTTGGAGCTAAGGAGACAAAAAGATAAAATGCTGACAGCTTAAGAAGCTAAAAGTCGGTTGAACTTAGATGTATTTTTGTCAATAATTTCTTCATCTCCTTCTGGTGGAGGTAAAATTCTCAAAAGAGCCACACGTCCACAAATTCTAGAATCTTAAGAGGTTTATCCCATACAATGCAAGGGTCCTCTTAAAGGCAACCAAGAAGAGCGGGTGTTCCCCACCAGATCTGCATGACAGATCCCCACCAACTTGAGGTAAACACTTACTAAGTGTTTACCTCAAGTTGGTGGGCAACCATGTTAAATGGGTCAGAACCAAGGACAGCACCCAGAAGTCTACCTATTTCCCTCCCCGCTGTCCTTGACCCAGTTGTTAAACTCTCACAAGGTACCCACACTGCGTCACTAGAACCTCCTGGATGTACTACTGTCTAGTCCACATCTCTCTATTTAGTCTTCAGGGATATTGGAGAAACTCTGCCCCATGACGTCACTACCACCTCTACATCATTTTTCTGCACTGTTAGTCTGGTAAAACCTTATCCAAAAAGGAAACAGGTGACTTTGGTATGGTTACCCCGTGTTCCCTTGATGATGCTTACCGCAGAAAGCTGGGATTGAATTTTTTGTTTACAAGTTGGCACTAGCTGTTTTGTGTCCCTTTTTAACATATATAACAACTAGAGGCTTGGTGCACGAGATTCCTGCACTTGGAGGGAGGAGGGGACGGGAGGGAGTCCCTCAGCCCAGCCTGCACCCTCTCATAGTCCCGGACCCCTAGGGGGATTGGGCCTAAGCCGGCAGTCAGACATCCCTTTCGTAGTCCAGACACCTTACTCCTTACCACCTGCCTGAAGTGGAGGCAGGAGAGGCTCCCATCATCAACAGTATGCTCACCAGCCATGAGCCTGGCTTCTGGCTGAGCGGCACTCCCCCTGTGGGAGCGCACTGACCACCAGGGGGCAGCTTCTGCATTGAGCTTCTGCACCCTGGTGGTCAGTGCACTTCATAGCGACCGGTCATCTGTCATTTGCATATTACATAGGAAGGATACCAAGTTCATTTCAGAAATACTTGTAAACATTTAAATCTCTAAATCCCACCTCTCAGAGACAACAGCTTTTAACATTCTGTGTACATCCTTCTAGGCTTACCAAACCTACAGTCTTCTCAGGTGCTAATTAACATTTGATAATCCATTTAAGAATTCTGCTAGGGTATCACAGCAAATTTATCATCCACAGCCCCCAAATACACCTTCTCCAGCTCTTAAAACCAGGCCCTCTGCACATCTCACTCAGAATGCAGCCAAACACCCTGACAAGCTGGAGGCCCCGTCTGCCCGGCGCTCTCCCGTGGCTCTCACTGTCCCACAAGCTGAGAGCCCAACTCCAGGCTCTGCCGCTGGCCTGCCGAGCAGGGACACATCTTTGGTCGGCTTGTTTATAGGGCCCTGTGTTCCCTAAACATCTCTCCCCAGCTTCCTTGGACTACAATTTTTCTATCCTTTCGGTTTCAAACCCATTATTCTTAGTGGCGGAGAAAAAAGATAAGTGAAAACATGCTATGTTTTTACTACACAATCTGCCCCAAGGAGACAGACAGTCCCTTCATTCTTCACACTGACACTCCAAATACTTAATTTTGTTTCAATTCTCCCAGATTATTTAAGCATTTTGGACAATTCTACATCATTCAGGATTTTGCCTTCTTGATACCATTCTCAAAGGTTCTGGCTACCTGTTTTGTGACTGAGTCCCTTTTTCCCATCTTTCTGACCACATCTATAATCATAAAGGGTAATATGCTAATTAGTTCAAACATCCGGATGAAGCAGGGGCCGAGTGAAGCCCGGGTCCTGGGTGCCTGCAGGCGGTGGCCAGAATGAAGCAGCCTGGGTCCCAGGCACCGCCGGCGGTGGCCAGAGGGAAGCCCGGGTCCCAGGTCCCAGGCGCCGAAGAGTAGCCGGTGCCGGCAGCCGGGGTGAGGAAGGCCTGCTCTTGCACGAATTCCATGCACTGGTCCCACGTCTGTCCAGGTGAGTGAGGCGGTCCGGTGCCTGGCTAAGCCATGCTGGGCTAGTTGAACTCTGCTCTCTCTGCTCCGCTGTCTGCTCCCCCTCACCCTGTCTCACTGAGACTTCCACCTCCCAGCACCACCCCCTTCCGAGGCAGCACCACATTCGGGCCGCAGACAGCGAGGCCGGAGCCTGCGCTCACAGCTGAGGGAGTGCTGCTGGGGCTAATTACCGGCACCAGATGAAGGCCTGGAACAACTTCAACAATAAATTAAAACAATTAAAAGGCACAGATTTCAAAGCTCAATATATAAATAACGCTGTATCAAAATGAAACTCAAATGTGTAATGTCAGCTCAATGCCCTTGACTGCAGCCAGTTCTAACACAGCTGCTTAGATCATACAATCACAGAAACTTTTATTATTTTAGAAACGCATTTCAAAGAACAGCTGCAAAAAAGCTTGGTCCCCCCTCCCCTGGCTGTCCCTTCCCCCTTCCCAATCACAGGTCCTTATCCTTATGAAATCTGAAGTTATAAACAAAACAACAATGAACTGCGAACAGCCGCCCGTCACTGGGAGCCTTCAACCTGGAACAGTGACCGAGGGTCCAGGCAGAAATGAAGAGAAATTACGCTCAGGTCACAAAGTGCCACACACACCTACCTGTATGATGTCAGGATGAATCAATACGGAAATTAGTGGGTGAATAATTAAAACTTCCTGGCAATAAATCTTATACCGGAGAAGCAGGTGTTTCCTGTCTCTCTGGACTTGTTCTATTTTTTCAAGCTGCCAACCTCAGAATACCCACCAGATGCCAGGCATATTATATACATTCTTTCATCTTCACAATATCCCATAAAGTATTATTGTTATTGATGTTGTTGTTGTTGTTGTTGTTGTTATTACTAGAGGCCCGGTGCACCATCAGGGCAGGGGAGGGACCTCAGGAGGACTCCAGGGCATGTCCGGCCCATCTCGCCCAGTTCCGATCGCCGTACCCAGCAGCAAGCTAACCTATCAGTCTGAGCGTCCGCCCCCTGGTGGTCAGTGTGCATCATAGCAACTGATCGAACGAATGGTCAGACACTTAGCATATTAGGCTTTTACTATACAAGAGGGTTATTCCCACACAGATAAGGAAACAGGTTCTGACAAGTAGGCTCACACACCTATTAAGAGATTCTCAAGCCAATGACCAGTGTCTCACTGGGTGGGGCTGGGTCTCTGGCCCTGCATCCAGCCCAGAGCCTGAGCTTCCCTCTGGTTCTTCCACATCCCCGAGACCTTTGACGTCGTCTCTGTCACACTTCCAGTCCACACTGGTTATCATCCTTACTCGGGGTCAAAACAAATGGACAAACCACCGCCAAGAAGTGAAATGTTTCAAAAGTCTTAATTGCTTAGACACCTCACCAAAGAGATCATCACCAATGCTATCATCCTTTAAGTACAATCTGCCTCTACTTCAAACGTATAAAATTCCCTTTAACAACAGTTCTCACAAACCACAAACTTAGCCTGCAGAAATTGACATTGCAGACTAAACATTTACCATGATTTTTAGAAAAGCATATCATAATTATCACTTTTTCCACTGAACCAAAGGAGCCAGAGACCACAAACATTTTTCCATTTTCTCTATACTAACAGGTATGCTATTCACATAAGCATCAAAAAGTACAACGATAGACAATTTTTACAGAATTCTGAGAATCAAAAGAAGTCTAAAGTTGACTGTCAATTTCAGCAGAGTAAAAATTAAAACTCAAAATCATCTACAGTGAAAGTTAAACACCAAAGTAGAATAGTAAGTTGCTGCACACGTTATTAAATCCAAGTATGAACATACCCGTGGACCTGTTTCTCCCTAAACGCTCTTAAGTTTGAGTCTGTGTTAAGGAACGAATGCCAGGTTTAATTCAAGTCTACTAGACACTAACTAACACAATCTACTGGGCCAGCTTGTCCCCCGCTATTAGAGTCCTACGTCTGCTATATACTGACATATGTATATATGTTCAGATCAAATCCTGTTAGAACGAAAACAAACAGTGTTTTAACAAAAATATTTCCATGTCCTAGCCAATGGCCCATTCATTTCATGTAATATTCAATACCACAAAATTCCACTTGCACAGAAATATGGACAATACCTTAAAATTCGCTGTAATGAAAACTAGCTCGTGTGCAATTATACTAACCATAGTTACATACAGAACACATGTTCATCTGTTCTGTCTCTTCTCCGAGACTGTCCACTCCTCAAGGGAAGGAGCTGCCTCCAAACTATTCTCCTCAAGTCAGGAGGACAACAGTGCCACCTCGTGGATATTCCGTAAACATATTTGAGAAGTAAATTACAGGGGAAAAGAAAATAAGACTCAACCAGTAGAAAGCAAACAAAAAATAATCAATAAACAGATTTGGCCAAAACTGGTTAGGCTCAGTGGATAGAGTGACTGAAAGGTCCCAGGTTCGATTCTGGTCAAGGGCATGTACCTTGGTTGCGGGCACATCCCCAGTGGGGGGTGTGCAAGAGGCAGCTGATGGATAATTCTCTCTCATCGATGTTTCTAACTCTCTATCCCTCTCTCTTCCTCTCTATAAAAAAATCAATAAAATATATTTTAAAAATAAATATAAAAATAAACAGATTTGCTTAAGAAAAATGGAGGCATAGCTTCGTGTAGCTGAAAGCACTTCTGAGGAATAAGCACAATCACCCACTTTAGAGGCACCTGACTTTTCTTGCTGTGAGCAGCAGCCTGGTCAGTTGGAAAGCTTGGACGACGTGGTTCTGAGATCTGGCACTGGCCATTCAGGGACCTGTATCCAGGTCCACTCTTCTTACCTACACCGCCTGTAATACTCAAAGTCCCTCTGTCTCACACCATTCAAGGCTTACCTTGTTCTTCCTCTCCCATAACGAACAATGAGTATTACTACATTGTGTTGTATTCTATAGTTTAGGCCAAAGAAAATTTCCAAAGTAATCTCACCTACAAATTATGTCAGTCTTTGCACTAACTTTGGGACCAACCTGCACACGCACCACAATGACCAAGCACCCATTTTCTCTGATCCTTGGCTTCTTGGTCTTCACAATGAGAAAGGGGACTGAGTGATGGCTAGGATTCCTCTCTACTAGTAAGTATTACAATTCTAGAAAGAGAGGGATATTTTGCTTTCCAGAAATACTAATGAATGAAATGGGGCAAACAGTGCTATATTTCCGCATAAAAACAACAGAGTAAAAATTCTCTAAACTCACTCCCCTTACTCTTCAACTCGCCCACGTACAAGCTGCGGGAGGGATTAGACATCAGAAGCTGGCCCGCCAACGTGCAGCCCGGGCGGCAGGTCTGCAGCCTGAGCCAGGTCCTGCTTGCTGGGACAATGCCTGGAACATGGCGTCTGGGGCGCTGCACACCACAGGCAGGCCAAGCGAGGAGCTGGCCACCAGAAGCTCTGACAGGGCACAGGTGGTGGCAATGGCACTGGCTAACCCTGGCTGCTTCTAGGCCTGCCCTGGCATGGCAGTTGTAACTTCCAGACTACAATGGCCACGGCAGAGGAAAACACTCTGGCCAGCATCCTCTTCGGGAATGAAATATTTCTATCTTACCTGGCCAGACATAAATTTAAAAATGAAGATGAAGATAAAGATGATGAAGAGAGAAAGAGATGGAGAGAGAAAAAGAAATAGAAATGAATGAATGAGTGAGAAATAAAAAATCAAAGGGGGATGAATAGGCAGAGAGCGATTTTCAGAGATTGGAACTGTTTTGTATGATACCATACCCAAACCCACCCAACTAAAACACCCAGAGGAAACCCTAACGTAAAGCATGGACTGTGGGTGACCATGATGTGCTAGTGTGAGTCCCTGTCGTAACAAACGTACTGGTATGGCATGGGATGGCGGGACGCTGACAGTGGTGAGGGCTGTGTGTGTGCAGATAAGAGCACTCTCTGTCCCTGAAACTCTCCTAAAGAGCAGTCTATTTCTGGGGCCTCGGCAGCCTGAGCTGCAGGTGGGGTTAGCACCTCCTGCTCCAGCGAGATGGTGTTTCCCCAGCGTCACCTCAATGAACAGGGGGACCAGGTCTATATTCTAAAGGTGATCCTACGGGACAACAGGCCTGCTCAGCCCATCCTGCTCGCTTCTCCCCAGAGGAACAAATTCCCGACACCAAATCACCATCGAGAAGCATTTCCAGGTGCTGATGACCCAGCAGCCGAGCCCCTTCCTATGAAGGTCCCTTAAGTTTCCTGTCTCTCCTGCCGCCTGTGACCCCTCTGAGACTGAAACCAAGCCTTTCGGTCTGTGAGCCTGAAGCCTTCCCACCTTGGAATCGGGGCCATTACCTGTCATCACAGCAGCGCCCCTTACAGGGAACAAGTTTAAGCCTGCTTTTCATATTCTGACTGCCACATTATTAAAATGATTTGAAAGAGCTTTTTTTTTTTTTTAAAGTGTCTATTTCTAAAAAAATTCAAAGTAAACTTAACCGGAAGAGTAGGGGTGGAGAGCGTGCATGCAAGCAAGCAGGGTACTGAGGGAGGATGCAGAAATACCTTTTGAGAAATGTAATGAAGACATGCTATCAGTTTTCCCAATGTGTGTTTGCCATTCCCTAAGTGTTACTTTATTCATTTGTTTTTAATACTCACCCGAGGACATGCTTTTATTGATTTTAGAGAGGGGAAGAGGAAGGGAAGGGGGGAAAGGGGAAAGGGGAAAGGGGAAAGGGGAAAGGGGAAAGGGGAGAGAGAGAGAGAGAGAGAGAGAGAGAGAAGGGAAAGGGGAAAGGGGGGGGGGGAGAGAGAGAGAAAGAGGGAGGGAGGGAGGGAGGGAGGGAGGGAGGGAGGGAGGGAGGGAGGGAGGGAGGGAGGGAGGGAGGGAGGAGGGAGGGAGGGAAAGAGAGAGAGAAACATCCATCAGCTGTCTCACGCCTGGGATCGAACCTGCACCTGAGTATGTGAGTCCGTGCCCTGACCGGGAAGAAATCCAAGCCCTTTCTGCATCCTAAACCATGTTCAAACCAGCTGAGCCACACTGGCCAGGGCCCTCAGTGTCACTTGAGATCCCAGTGAACACCCTACACTTCAAAAAACACAAAGAATATAGGACAAATAGTTCCTTTAAAAAAAAAATTAGTTATAAAGATAAAATGACGATTATACATAGACTACATCAAAATAAATATCACAGCATTCATGATTAAACAAGTTCAATGAAACATCATGCTGACCATGACCCACACCATTCAGCACAGACTGCCTTCATTTCCTAGAGACGCTAAAGCTGGCCTGGTCTTCCAATGGCCATACAGGAGCACACAGTGGGTCTAGAAGGGCCCCCGGGCAGAGCTGCCAGGCTCCTGGGCTGGCACCCTTCCACTGCCCGCTTGGGGAAGGCGGAGTTACCTGGTAAAGCGGTAATGAAGTCCCGCTGCAACATGGGCTTCAGGTACGAGTTAATATGTCCATGCTGGTAGTGACACATCCGGGAAATGAGGTGCTCCACGAACTCCACCTGATCTGATTCAGACCACTGGTCAAAGTACTTAATGCACAAGTCCTTTTCCTTCTGGTAGTTTCCTTCCGACGGCCTCTTTCTGGAGACGATCACAGACGATGTTCCATTACTTATCTAGTTTAGAAACACACACAAAAACATAATGAGTTTGACAGGGAAAAGGAATCTAATTGGTATTTCATTAGAAACATTTTTCACTCTGGGTATTTAATCTTAAAATGCCAGTTTTACCCTAAAGCCACTCACTCCTTTATTAATTCATTCAGAAAATAATTAAAGCCGTATTCAGAGCCCATCGCCTCTAATGAGTCTCGAAGGTAAATGCCAAAGTTACAGCTACTGCGAAAGCTTCATGGTGTCCTAACTCATCATTTTCTAATGCTTTTCCAAACCATGCCGTTACCGATAACTAATGTCAGAGATGGCCATTTTAGGAAAACTGTTCAACTTGGCAAAGTGGCAACTGATTCACTACTAATAGTTTTACTTCCTCAAAGCTGAAAGTTAATGCTTGATTGGTCTATACCAGTGGTCCGCAAACTGCGGCTCTTTGGCCCCTTGAGTGTGGCTCTTCCACAAAACACCACGGCCTGGGCGAGTCTATGTGGAAGAAGTGGCGTGAGAAGAAGTTTAAGTTTAAGAAATGTGGCTCTCCAAAGAAATGTCAATCGTTGTCCTGTTGACATTTGGCTCTGCGGACGGATGAGTTTGCCGAGCACTGGTTTATGCCAAAGGTTCCTGCTTGGCCGTTCATCAGAACAGCAAAGGGCTTGTTAGCAGAGAGTCCTGACCCCAGGTCTGCAGGAGCCCAAGCATCTGCATTGCTGACAAGCTCCCAGCGATGCTGAGCTGAGGACCACACTTTGAAAACCACTATTCTAGCCAACGGAGAAACACGAAACAACGGCATCTAAAAAGCTTCATTTTACTTATTTTGTTTTAATTTTTATTGTTATTACCTATGTCCCCATTCCCCCCACCCCCATTAACCCCTTCCAGCCCACCCCGCCCCCACCCCGGCCTTCACTACCCTACTGTCTGTGTCCATGGGTCATGCAGATATGCATACAAGGTTAAAAAGCTTGGTTCTACCAAACAGTCTGGATCTCCATGTTGTTGCCAGGCCTAAAACTGCTGGCAAAACTTTAGACTTTCACGCCCTTTTGTTCACCCACTCAAAAGGTGGCCCCTGGTAAACCATGGAGGCTTGGAAAGTTCTTTGCCTTATATAATTATAGTTTATGGATAACCCATACTCCTATACTAACTGCATTTCTCATCAAATCTACACTGCCCTAGTATAAAACCAGTATTTTTTAAAATAGATTTTTATTGATTTCAGAGAGGAAGGGAGAGAGAAAGAGAGAGAAACATCAATGATGGCTGCCCTGTGCATGCCCCCTACTGGGGATGGACCTCACAAACCGGACATGTGCCCTTGACCGGAACTGAACCCTTCAGTCCACAGGCCAACGCTCTATTCACTGAGCCAAAGCGGCTAGGGTGAAAAACAAGTATGTTTTTTAAAAACTGAAATTAAATATAATGCATCCGGACAATAGCACAAAAAACCTAAGTCCCTAGAAAGAAGCCACAACTGCTACTGATCTATGAGGTTCAGTAAATGCCTTTAAAAACAAAGGAACCTCAACGCTTCCAGCAAACATTGGCCAAGCCATCTGCCCATCACTCCTCTGCTGGCCGCCTTCGTGTGTAATACCAGAAGGAATAACATGTGAGAACCTTGAAAACTGAAGAGCTGCATTAGAACACCCAGCATGCCATAGGAGCCTCCCTCAGAAGCCGTTCATGGAAAGAAGCAAGAGCTTTTGTTACAATTTGTCCTAAAAGCAAGTTGCCTGATCCCATTCCAGAAAGTAGGCCTCTGTAAATTTCCAAAGGCGTCTCCAGCCTCCTTGATACAATCTTAGAAACCTTTCCCGTAATAAGCAAGTCCTATGTCCTCATGCAGAGGTATGCAGTCGGAAGGCATTTATCTCCATCTCATTCATCCTAACCGCCGCCTCCTCCAGGAGTGCTTTCCCTGTAAGCTGGGTGAGGGAGCGCTCACTGACACCGGGCACCACCAGGGGGCAGCATTACACAGAAGTTTTGATGTTGCTTTTAATAAGACATTCAGAACAAAAAAAATCAACACACAAAAAAGACCAAATGAAGTGAAAATTCTTCGCTGTGGTCAATATTGACTGGTATAAGGAGCATCTTTGATGTTTCATGTTTATAATACAGAAAAATTAGAACTGTCCAATTACAGGCAACAGGTTTAAGCAAATTATAATACGTGTACATAAAGTGCTATAAAGGTAGCCATTAAGTTTATAAAGTAAGATTTTAATAACAAGAGAACACTTTTATAAACAATATTAAGGAACAAAAGATGAGATGCAGAATTTTATATGGCATAATCGCAATAATTTATGTGAAGGGGAACACACCTGGGCAGAGTTAAGAATATTTCAAATATAATAAAAGTGCCTAATCTTGAGAAAGAAAGCTATATATGTTTCCCTTCCCCTCCTTTACTATACTTTTCATAATAACTTGCCAAATAATTGCTCTCACACAGGTTAAATATAAGAACGGTAATGAAATGCATTTATAAACTGCTTTACACTTTACAAAATTCTTCCATACCCGTTGTCTCATTTGATAAGCAAACATGTTATTATTTCATTTATAGAAAGGCTCCCAACCATCTACCCTTCTAGCACTAGTACACCATTAACTAGGTGACTAAAAGACAGATAAACGAAAAACCAAAAGTCGGAGTTAACACTGAATTGCAAAATCAATACTAAGTGAAGGTGAGCCTAGTGCAGACAGAGTGAGGAGGAAACAGAAGGCAGCCTGCACACAGTTCCCCAACCAGCAGCTGCCGGACTCCTAACACCTGGGGGGCCAGAAAGAGCTTCCTGCCATTGTTTTACTTCATTTCATCTCCAATGTGTTGGGGGTACTTCACTCTGCCTCACTAATCTACCCTTTGGTTTCAAATCAAATGAACCCTGAGAATTTTGTAAACATGTTCTCTTCAGATTTAGATTTGCTGTGCCTTTGTGTCCTAATGAAGAGAAAATGATTTGTACCATCATGACTGATGAAATCATCAAATAATGAAGCTTTACATGCCCTGCCCCCTTTACCCCACCGCAAAAAAACAAAACAAAACAAAAACTATGGGATTGGGAGGAAAATGGCAAACTATAGAGCCAGGAGAAAAGGAAACCGAGTTTAAAAGTAAAGGGCAAACCAACAAGAAATGAGGAAGAAGGATGGACTGGGGAAAAACAGGCATCACTGCGAATAAACGGTGTGTGGTGTGGTGCCATTCTGGTGGCAAAAACACCACCACCGTCCACCTAGACAGTGGACATGGAACACTGCAGGCTACAGTCACTTCAGAATCTTGGTGAAAATTCCAAAATCTTTACTATTCATAATGACACTTCCCTAAGGATCAGAAGATAAATTAGGGTGAGTTCTGAAACCAGTGAATTGACATGCAACAAACACAAAAGTGCTTGGCTCTTGTTTTCACGAGGTCATGAGCTGAGGGGACACCTTGTCTAGATAGGGGACACCTCTCCTATCTGTGCGCAGTCATTCCTACCTGCCAAAGAGTATTTTTCTTGGGGGACTCATCTTCATTTTGATCCTCCATAACTGAAGTGTTCTAAGGGGGGAAAAACAGAGCATTTAATTATGCCAAGTTTTGCAAATCCTAAATAACTACACCAAAATATAATTTTGAAAACCCAAACTAGAGTGTACCAACACAAACCCAGGAGCTAGTGTGGCTTGTGGCCAGTGTACTATTTGGGGCCAAGGGGGCTGTGCTCATCTTTCCTAAACCAATGCAGAGAGCAAGCACGAAGTCTTCCTTAGTGAAGGAGGGCCCCCGGGAAGACAGGCTGGCTCACGGCAGAGGGCTGAAGCTCCACCCCCGCCATCACTGTTATTCTGGACTGGTGGCTGGAGGCCCCAGAGACACACTCAGTTCCTGACGGCTGCACAAAGCACTCACTGCAACGTCTGCTGTTCGCCAACCCCCCAACTCAGGCCATTAGGGCTGACAAAGCCCAGCCTTTCTCTCTCCCCCGTTTTTCCGGAATGGCTTTCTCTCTCCCCCATTTTTCCGGAATGGCTTTGCAATCTCCCCCAGCAGGCACGGTGGGCGCCCCAACCTTATCCCCGAAGGGAGGATGCAGCGAGCCAATAAGGATCCGGCTGGCCTTAGGAATGCATTAGCTTTTGGTTTTGTGTTTACCGCACAAAGAGGCGCTGTGTAATTATTCTTGCCGGTGACCTAGTCGCTCAATAGATGCCCATTAACTGGAGATTATCCATGATTGGATTTTCCTTTTGAAGCTCCTATCTAATAGCTAAATGGAAACTTAATGAGATGGGGAAATGGGAGAGTTGTGCTCAGAAAGGAGTAACCACTCATTTGTAGGTGCAACCCGCTAAGATCCCTTTCAAAACCTAAAATCAGAGGACTGGGGTAAAACGTTTACACTACAATATCTGTGCCATAGTATTATTTAAAGGGATCCTATAGATCTGTTTAAGTTATCAATACTCCTGTTTACTACTGCCTTTAGGGGAGGAGCCTATGGCTGAGCTTTTCGCTCTGTGTCCAAGCTGTGAAATGTCTGGGCCCACACAGTGCTTCCAAACATGCCCAGTGCGAGGCATGGCGGCGTCCGCGCTGAGAACGGGTGCTCTGCTCTGCAGGCCACACAGCTGGTTCTGAGCAGGAACGGAGCTCAAGATAAGGGAAGGCCAACGGCTTTGAAAACCAGAGATCTGGTCCCTCACTCCGTGTGTGTGTGTGTGTGTGTGTGTGTGTGTGTGTGTGTGAGAGAGAGAGAGAGAGAGAGAGAGAGAGAGAGAGAGAGAGAGAGAGAGAGAGAGAGAGAGAGAAGGAGGGAGGGAGGGAGGGAGGGAGGGAAGAGGGGATGCTGAGCAAGTTGTGCTGCCATGGACAAACACCACAGGGTTGTGTGGGGGCTGAGGCTACCCAGCGGAGCTGGTAAGTTGAGCAGGTACTAAACCTGGTCCTGCCCTGCTCTGAAGACGCTACTTTCCCCCACGTGGTACCTTCTAATGCTTCTCTAACCTCCCGCGTGGACAGAATGGCTCCCTCCAGGCCGTCAATAGAGAAAACCCACTAGTTCCTCGGTAAGTACTTACGAGGATAAGCCCAAAGCACCGAGGTGGGCAGTGGGGGAGGGGGCAGGAGAGCGGGGCTCCATATGTGACACCAACCATGAGCTACGAGGAGGGCAGTGTGTCCACGTGTCCAAAACGGGCCTAGAGCGGTGGCAGCAAGAAATGGTCCTGAGCGCGAAGGAGGTGCAGGCGAGGCTGGCAGACGTAGCCTTTCTCTCTCCATGTAGCCGTCCTTGTCCTGCTAGCCCGAAGGACCCAGAGATGGATGAAGCTGGCAGGTTTCATTATGGAAATGAATAAGGAGGGACGGTGACTCAGTGCCTCAGCTCCTCAGTCTGCCTGGCAGTTACAATGCCATCCTTGCAATGTCACAATGTCCTGGGTTCTAAGACACTGGCCTGCAGAAAGAGTGGCCGGACACACGAAGGGCTGAGCAGGTGAAGTGGAGGAAGTGTGAGGAGCGCCTGTCCCCATGTCACCAGGCACCCAAGAAATGTCCAGGATATATGTATCTGTGTATAATGCTTTCATCTAAAAACTCCTGAAACAGGAGCCTGAATAAGCCAGAGCAATTCTAACCTAAACCATCTTAATAATTTCCTCAGGGAGAAAACAAAAGAAGTCAGAAGTTCCTATAGACGACACAACAACTGTTTTCGCCGTAAGAAAACTTAGTTCTTCCTCTCATTCATTCCAAACAGATTAATGGTTTTTATTTATATAGTGGAGAGAAGGAATGAACTCCTCGACTATTTTCGTAAAACTTGATAAAAGTGGATCAATATATACAATTTTTTTAAAAAATCCTCACCCAAGGATATTTTTTCCATTGATTTCTAGAGAGAGGGGGAAGGAGTAAGGAAAGGGGAAGAAAGAGAAACACCCGCGTGAGAGACATGGACTGGCTGCCTCCTGCTTGTGCCCTGACCAGGACTGGGGAACCTGCAACCAAAGTATGGGTGGGTCCATGACCGGTAATCGAGCCTAAGTCTCTTCGTTCCAGAGGCCAACACTCTAACCACTGAGCCAAACTGGCCAGGGCTAAAGATATACAATGTAATAAAACTGTATTTAATAAAGCCCTGTGGGGGCTATTCCTTCATCATATCTATTCAACTTCTCTTACAGAGCCTTCAGGAGTGACACTGATGAGAGCATCATCTCCTTACAGTACTCCGGGTGACACAAGAGATGCTCAGAGAAAAAGGGTCTAATTACAATTAAGAAATGCCATGTATTTACGTGCATGCCCCACAACACACTTCATTAAGATGTTAAAGGTTCTGGCAGTCTTATAGTTCAAAACTCAGCTCCAGCTAGTTGAACCTAGCTTTCTTGAGTTCTTGGCTATGGGCCCTCCTTTTATAATAATACTAGAAGCCTAGTGCATGAAAATTCATGCATTTGGGGGGGGGGACCCTCAGCCTGGCCCACCCCCTCTCACAGTCCAGGAGCCCTCAGGGGTGGGAGGTGACCCAGCAATCAGGAGAAGGTAACACCCCATCACATCTCTGCTGCTGCCACTGCCAGAAGCACAAGTTTCGGCTGGCCCTGGTTACCTGAGCCTCAGGCGGCCCTGGGCAGCTGGGGGGCTGAGGGGACTGGGCGCTGCCATCTTTGAAGGTGTGGCAGTCAATCAGCATATTCCCTCCTTATTGGCTGTGGGCACCACCATCTTTACAATGGCGTGAGGGTCAATTAGCATATTCCCTCTTTATTAAATAGGATCTCTTAATAATAGCTCAGCATATATTGGCCAACATTGGACTGGGGCAATAGGAGGGCGGAATTCTTTCCTCCTCCCACTTCACAGAACAAATACTTCTGGAAAACAAAAGAAAAGCCCACTTTTGGTAAATAAAATATGTACCTTTTCTAGCCCCATCATCTCTCCCAAATTGCTATTTGAGGCTGTGGGAATAAGGAGAAGTGGCAAAAATAAAAGATTCCCTTAGAGAAGCCACACTTTTAAAACCCCCTTTGGCATTTATTCCTTACAGGTATAACTGACAAAAGGTCACACAGGTCAAGAGTGAGGTAAGAGAAAACAATAAACTTTCCATGCAAAAAACAAGGTGGTTTCCATCTTCCAAATTCTACATGGAGCCACGAAGTAAGCCGATCCGAGAACTGACATCCTCTTTCCGTCTCCAACCCTTCTGGGAAAGGAAAGTTCTTTGAAAAACCAACCTGGCTTATTCACTTCCTACCATCTCCTCCTCATCTCTCTCCTCCTGCATCTCTGCTGAGAAGCATCACATGTAATAACAATGCAGGCCTTCCTATTCGGACACTGCTCCTGAGGAAAGGCACAGTCTAGGAAGCAGACTCTAAGGCAGATCAGCCTTAGCCAGCTGACACTGCACCAGGTCATTCTTTGCTGTGTGGGGCTCTCACATGCACCGCAGGATGGTTAGCAGCATGCCTGGCTTCTGTCTACAAGAAGCTACCGCCCTGCCCCCACCCTAGTGGTGACAACCAAAACTGTCTCAGGGGAGAGGAGGGAGGGGTATCTTAACTTGCCTCCTTGGGGAGATACACTATATCACCCACATCTCAGGACTGGCCTTCTCTCTCCAGGCTGCTCTGGCTGCGACAGTATGCCATTTCTTCCAACACAGTCTGATCTCACTATGGCCAAGCAATGCACGGAGTACACAGATATCTCAATTCTGGGCTAACGTCCTGCTTGCCGTTAAATTCATATTTGGGGAAATTTAATTCGGGAGTTCTTACTAGAGATCCTTGAGCTTGGGGTGTGAGTTATAAATATCATAAAGTCATGAACAAAAGTTGGTGTGTTCACATGCCTCCAAAAAGACAGTCCAGAGCTTTCATTAGGTTCTCAAAGGTGTTCCAAATACAATAAGATAGCAAAGCATGCCTTTGACCAAATAGCAGACCTGAGTGGATAGAGCGTAGGCATGTCTGCTGCTGTCTTTTAAGTTCCCCAGGAAATCTATGTATGTCTATTTTTAAATCATTACTATGGCCACATGATGTGGTCCATGTAGGGGCATCATTCTAAGTAAGGGATCTGCACTGGTACCATAGCAACAGACTCCATCCAAAGCATGAGACTTAACTACTGCCAAATCCCACGAGAACTAATGCCTGCCCTCTCCTCCAGAGCCTGCAGGAGATGCCAATGGGAAATGCTGCTCTCACGCTACACTGATCGTTACCAAAGGAATTCCAGGTGACACAGGAATGTTCAGAGGAAAAGGGGTCCCAGGATCTGATTAAGTTTGACAAATGCTGTGTGCTGGGTGAGTGCTCTCCCACCCCTGACCAAGCCCCACCCCCACCCCCACCCCATTTATAATATACTTCTCACTAAACAGCATAGGCTCCGAGACATCTGGTCATGAAAGCCAGGTTAAGCTGGCTGAGCCTAGTTTCCCCAAGTCTGTTGGATACGGACACCCTCTCTGATAACAGCTCAGCTCAGCACATCTGGGCAAACACTGGACTAGGGCAACAGCATGGAAGAATTCCTTC